TCAGGGAATGTGAATGAGACATTGCCACAGCTAGCTTACCATATTTTCTGGCGTATAAGACGACCCCCTAATTTTACAGTTAAAACATAGGTTTAGGCCTATATTCGCTGTATAAGACTACCCCTCCACTTCAAAGAAAAGACTTACTTTGCCGTCAAGATCTGCAGGTAATTTTTGTGCAATTTTGGTCTTTTGCCCTGATTTTCAGTTGACTTTTTTTCATTTCAAAAGTCATCTTATACGCCAGAAAATACGGTACATTTCTCTGTGACATGTCACAGTAGCATGTTTCAAGAAACCAAGATGGCGGCATAGGGTAGACACCCGAATGCAGCCTACCACAACAAATTTGAATTTAGAACTGGAAAACAGGGGAGGCATTGCCCTGATGCACCAGATGGCTAGCTGAGAGGAGGTTCTGCCATCTGGGAAGGAGAGGGAAGGCGCGCTGACCCTCGGAAACTGTGAAGGTATGGAGAACTGTGTGCACGAAAAGGCGCTGGCTACTGCCGGTGCGCGGAGAGGGAGGGCCAGGCGGAGATCGCTGCTGGCCGACTCCCGGTGCCCGAAGAGGGCCGGCCAGGCTGAGTTCGATACTGGCTTACTCCCGGCGCGCGGAGAGGGCGGACAGCTAACGCGCGACTGGCTTTCTTATTCTGGAGGAAAACAGAATCACCCTATTGCTCTGATAGACGGCCCCAATCAGAAAAAGGCCATACTGTCAGGCAGCGGGCAGAGATCTCTCCGAGGAGTGTGAAGCCAAAGGCCTTTACTGCAGGAGGAGCTTGTCTGCTCCAACCCTAGACTCTGCCTCATCCAAGCTGAGCACAGAAGCTCTCCAGAGGCTGGTTTTCTCTAGAGAGGGACTGGCTGGAATCTAAAGCTTGTCTGCGCCTTTACCAAAGAGGTGTGTGCACCTGTAACCAATCTTGCGAGACTCACCGGGAACAGGACTTTTCTAAGGCGAGACTGACAGGGAACCAAAGATTGTCTGTGCCACCCCGAGACCCCACCCTATCCAAGTGGAGTACAGAAGCCTTCCTAGCTGAGACACTGCTGATCCTCACAGCCAATTGGCTTGGAGATCAGCGCTTTCCAGTGATACCAACAATAAGCAAGGCTTAACAACAAGACTGCACACACAGCCCACAAAGGGCTACACCAAGACTGTCCACCGCAGGTAACTGGGAAGGCTGTGCTACTGGGCTCTAGCACACAAAACTATTCCATCAAATCAGGAAAACAACTAAAATGCAGACAAGAGGCAGGACACAAAGGAAGGGGATGGAGGAAAAGAAAAGAATGGACATTGAGTTCAAAATTACAGTTATAAGGCTTTTCAAGAATATCCTAAAAAAGGCCGATAAAATAAATGAGACCTATGAGGATATGAAAAGGGATCAACTAGAAATAAAGAAAACATTGTCTAAAATTAAAAAAATATTACACATAGTCCTAAAATCAGACTGGAAGATCACAAGAATCAAGACAAAGATTTAGAACACAAAGAGCCAGAGGACACTCTTCTGTAGAAGCAAGAAGATAAGAGAATCCAGAAAGTTGAAGATAGTGTAAGAAACCTCTGGGACAATTTCAAGCAAACCAGCATCAGAATTATGGGGGTCCCAGAAGATGAGAGAGAGCAAGATATCAAAAACATACTGGAAGAAATAGTGACAGAAAACTTCCCCCACCTGGTGAAAGAATTAGACTTACAAGTCCAGGAAGCGCATAGAACTCCAAACAAAAGGAATCCAAAGAAGACCACACCAAGACAAATCATAATTAAAATTCCAAGAGCAAAAGACAAAGAGAGAATATTAAAAGCAGCAAGAGAAAAGCAGATAGTTACCTATAAAGAAGCACCCATACAATTGTCAGCTGATTTCTCAACAGAAACCATGCAGGTCAGACGAGAATAGCAAGAAATATTCAAGGTGATGAATAGTAAGAACCTAGAGCCAAAAATAATCTATCCAGCAAAGCTATCACTCAAAATCGAAGGCCAGATAAAGAGATTCACTAATAAAAATAAAAAAAAGCTAAAGGAGTTCATTACCACCAAACCAGAATTATATGAATTGCTGAAGGGTGTTCTTTCGGAAGAGAAATTAAAGATAAAAATTATGAACAACAAATACGTAACTATCAACAAGTGAATCTAAAAACCAAGGAAATTTTAAAAAATCTAATGAACAATATTAACTGTTGAATATAATAGAATCAGAAGGGGAGTGATGGAAAGGGAGTGATTCTTGGGGAAAAAGGGAGAGGGGGGTGTGGGAAGAGACTGAACATAAACTGTGCACCTATGGATGAGGACAATGGGGGGTGGGGAAAGGACAGAGGGTGGGGTGGGAACCTGGTGGAGGAGAGCAACGGAGGGGGGGAAAAAGAGGAACATTTGTAATAATATGAACAATAAAGATTTATTAAAAAAAAAAAAAAAAGGAAGAAAAATGGACAAACCTGTTTGAGCCCCACAGGCAGCAAAGTGTGAATGAAGTGTTAGCACTTGTGTGCGTGTGAGGCATTTGTCAACCACATAATAAATATCCCAAACAAAAAATAAATTAAAATTAAAATTAAAATTAAAAAATAAAAACCAAGGGAATTAAAAAATTCTGATGAACAATATTAACTGTTGAATATAATAGAATCAGAGGTATGGAAGGGGAGTAGACTGACGATTCTCGGGGAAAAGGGGAGTGGAGGGTGTGGGAAGAGACTGAACATAAACTGTGCACCTATGGATGAGGACAATGGAGGATGGGGTGGGAACCTGGTGGAGAGGAGCAATTGGGGGGGGGGGTGCGGGAAGGAACATATTTGTAATAATCTGAACAATAAAGATTTATTTAAAATAAAATAAAATTTTAGAAACTCACACGCAAAAAAACAAAAAAAAACCACAAAGTAGTATGTTTCTTTTCTCCACTTTTATCTGTTATCTTCTTGTGTCCTCACACTAACTCCAGAGTTTTCCAATTTACTATTATTCCCACTTCAAAGACTAAACACTTGAGATGGGAAAAACAAAGCTTGCTTTAATACAGTTGGCAAATGATAGCCCCAGGATGCCTTCACATCATCTCTTAGCTTCAACATTCTCTCAACCCAATGTTTTCATGAGTTCAAAATTTCAGCTAATAATCTAAGCAAATTAGCCCACTGCTCATCGCTGTCCACATCACCTGTAAAAAGATCACTGCTTTTATCAATTCCTAAGTGGCATCAGGATATGCCAGATGATGTTCAAAATTATATGTTCAAGATGGCAGCATCTTAGATAGTTCCTCTAATTTTAAGATGTTCCCTGAGCTTTATTTAATCAGTAATTTCCGACCTTTTCCCTGTTATAACACAAATAGAAAATGAAAATATGTGCACAGCTGACCAGTCAGAAGGTTCCAGAAGGTCCATGCAAGCCCTGCACAGCCACTGTGGGGATGGTGGGGACTGTGTGCTGCACAGTGCCACGGCACACATCTGGCAAACTCTGACTTTCAGTTCTAAAACTCCCACCATACATTCGCTGTGGCCCACACACAAAGGCATATAAATCTGGGAAGTAAAAAAAGAGAAATGACAGTGAAAACATCAAGGTCCAACCTTTACAGACAGCAGAAAGTTTTGCTCTCCTAACACAGATTAAGGACATGCCCACTCAGCATCCTGTAGGGACTGTGGACAAATCATACCCCGATTCTGCCAGGGGTTCTGTAGGAGATACTCAAGGAACCAGAGTAACCGAAGGAGAGTGTGATGCTGCAAATCTACCACCACTGTAAGAAAGATCCTAAAAAACCAATGACTCTATAAGGTTTTCCCAAAGACTAAAGGAGATTATAGCTTGTTTTAAGAGAAAAGTCTTAAATTAAGACGTGAGACTTTTCTAGGTATTACTACTTTAAAAAATAGTTCAATTGATTTTTTTTTTAGAGAAAGAGGAAGGGAGAGGGAGAGATAGAAACATCAATGACGAGAATCATTGATAGGCTGCCTCATGCATGCCCCCAATTGCAGCCATGTGCCCTTGACCAGAATCAAACCAGAAACCCTTCAATCTGCAGGCCAATGCTCTATCTACTGAGCCAAACCAGCTAGGGCTAGGTATTACTACTTTTTAAAGGAAAACAGAAAACACATATAAAATCTTAACATTGTTTTTGGATCAACATAGTATTTAATATCACACATATTCCAGTATCTAAGTAGCATTGGTGGACTTCTTTGCTCTTTGTCAGTCCTTTTTCTATCTTGTTTCCCTACACACTTTTTCCTTCCTAGGGCTCCAGTTTTACTAAAGTATTTTTATGTATCAAATGGTCTTGATTTGGGGAGGGGAAAACCTAGTGCTTTAATTGGAATAAAAAGCAGAGAATGAACAGCCCATTAAAATGCACAAGACTAATGTGACTTTATCTGTTTATTTAGAGCTTTTGGTGCTTAAAATTTCAAATAAAATGATCTAATTGCTGTAGTTTTAAAAAATTAAACATTTTTCCATTCCTGTCTGGGAAAAACTGCAGCACAAATCAACACAGTAGACTAATGAAAACAGATTACATGTAAAAACATAATTTAGAAAACATATGTACTCCTTTCAAAATTAATAAATAAAAAATGTTATTGTCGATAGTGAAAGCCAACAAGAATGAAATACAGACATTTGTATCTTATGTTTGCATGCATCATAAAGGCAACAAAAAAACAGTAAGATTTAAATTTTTACTAAATATTAATATAAACATATAAATAAGGAAAAAAACTACCTTTATTTTAAACTCAAAAATTCTTCTATATTCAGTAAAAAATCATTTACTTTTCAAAAGTATGACAGTTGTCAATACAAATCTCTCACTTATTTAAGACATACAGTTTATGTATTATGATGCATTTTTTAAATGAAACAGTTTATTGTCAAAACCCAAGTTGCTTCAATGTAACAAGAGAAGACTTAAAGCTAGCACTATCATATCAAATTGTAGCATACATACTGTATTGCCCCGTGCTAGTCTGATATATGCTAGTCGGTACTGCCATGGTAGCGATGTTAGGTGGTGTTCCTTCTCCCTCTGATTTTTCTTCTTCAATCTTGGGAACACCAGGCACATCAGAGGAAAGTTCATTCAGTATTTTTCTAAAACATAATTTAACAACAAATAATTAAGATAGAGTAATTAGATGTAAAACAGAAAAGCTATAGTGGAAGAATTGATTTGATGTATACTTAAAGTATCATTACAGTGGAAACTTAACTTACCGATAAGAGGGTCTTCGTGAAAGGATTTCTCTGCGTTTATGAGAATCAATTACACCTTCTGATTCTGTAGACTCATCTGTCTCTGTGATTGTTGCTACCTATAATACAAAAGTTTCTGAAATGCATCGTAAGAGATGTGATCTCCCTTATTTAAAAAAGAGTAACGAAGGCCCTTGCTGGGAGGCTCAGTTGGTTGGAGCATCATTCTGTGCACATACATACCTAGGTTGCAGGTTCAAGCTTCAGTCAGGAGGCAACCAATTGACATGTCTCTCTCACATTGATATATCTCTGTCTCTCTAAAAAACATATCCTCCAGTAAGAATTTAAAAAAAAAAAAAAAAAAGTGTGGAGAGAAACCAAGATGGCAGCATAGGTAAACACCTAACTGCAGCCTCACACAACAATTTCAAAAAAATACACTAAAATACACAATAGACATTACCCATAACTACAGGAAAGTTGACTGACTAAAAATTCTATAACTAGAAGGAAAGAGAAAACCAGAAGGAAAATCAGAGGAGCTGTAAAAGCCTAAGGTACGGAGACACGGTGAGTGCGCAGGGAGAGGACAGAGCTGGAGAGGAGGGGCAGCTGAGTGCCTGGCTGGCGTTCCCTAGCAGGAAGGAGGTAAAAGCTCCGGACTGTGCTGAGCCCCAGTTCCGACTGCACTGAATCCCAGTTCTAGGCCAGACCCTGGGGACCCAGGCTCATAAGGAGGGAGTCTGGGTTTATAAGGCGGAAACTTAGGGAACGGCGAAAGGAAGTCCCAGAGAAACACACATTACGTGCAGAGAATGGACAGTTGACTGTGCTGCTGGATTGCCCTAGCGGGAAGAAGATAAAAGCTCCAGACTGCTCTGAACCACACTTCCAACTGAACTGAACCACAGTTCATTGGGGGAGAGCTTAGACTGTTTGGTAGTGGGTGAAACTCGAGGGCACCTTCCTCTCAGAGGTGCTTGCACCGAGTACCGAAGGACACTGAGTAACACTGAGACTCAGGAACCTCATAGGGAGGGGCTGACAGGAAGCCAAGGCTGTAAGCTCCACCCTGAAACTCTGCACCATCCGAGCTGAGCACAGAGGCTTTTGCAATTTTCCAAGTCTAGTCGAATAAGGCTGTCTCCAGGCATAGACACAGCTGATTCTCACAGCCAATTGGCTTGAGGGTCAGTTCCTCCCAGTGATACCAACAACAATCAAGCCTTAACTACAAGGCTGTACACACAGTCCACAAAAGGGGGCACCAAGAGTTTCCACATCAGGTAACTGGGAGACTGACCCACTGAACCATATAGGAGACCTTAGCACACAAAGCCACCCTACCAACTCAGGGAAGCTGCGAAAATTCAGAGACAAGGAAACAGATCACAAACGAAAGAAATGGAGGACAAAAAGTGACTGAATATAGAGTTCAAAACCACGGTTATAAGGTTTTTCAAGAATTTCCTAGAAAAGGCCAATAAAATAAATGAGACCTATGAGGATATGAAAAGGGATCAACTAGAAATAATAAAGGATCAACAAGAAATAAAGAATACATTGTCGCTGAAACCAGTTTGGGTCAGTGGCAGAGTGTCGGTCTGTGGACTGAAAGGTCCCAGGTTCGATTCCAATCAAGGGCATGTTCATTGGTTGCGGGCACATCCCCAGTGGGGGGTGTGCCAGAGGAAGCTGGTCGATGTCTCTCACTCATTGACGTTTCTAGCTCTCTCTCTCCCTTCCTCTCTGTAAAAAATCAATAAAAAAAAATATATATATATATTTTTAAAAAGAATACATTATCTGAAATAAAAAATATTATACAGAGTCCTAAAAGCATAATGGAAGATTGCAAGAATCAAATCAAAGATTTGGAACATAAAGACCCAGAAGACACTCCTCCACAGAAGCAAGAAGGCAAGAGAATCCAGAAAGTTGAAGCTAATGTAAGAAACATCTGGGACAACTTCAAGCGAACCAACATAAGAGTTATGGGAGTCCCAGAAGAAGAGAGACAGCAAGATACCAAAAACATACTGGAAGAAATAGTGACAGAAAGCTTCCCCCACTTGGTGAAAGAATTAGACTTACAAGTCCAGGAAGCGCACAGACCCCCAAACAAAAGGAATCCAAGGAGGACCACACCAAGACACATCATAATTAAAATTCCAAGAGCAAAAGACAAAGAGAGAATATTAAAAGCAGCAAGAGAAAAGCAGGTAATTACATATAAAGGAGTACCCATAAGATTGTCAGCTGATTTCTCAACAGAAACCATGCAGGCCAGCCGAAACCGGTTTGGCACAGTGGTAAAGCTTCAGTCTGCAAACTGGAAGGTCCCAGGTTCGATTCCGGTCAGGGCCATGTACGGTCAGGGGCATTTACGTTGGTTGCGGGCACATCCCCGATAGGGGGTGTGCAAGAGGCAGCTGGTCGATGTTTCTCTCTCATTGACGTTTCTAGCTATCTCTCTCCCTTCCTCTCTGTGAAAAATTAATAAAATATATATTTTTTTTAAAAAAGAAAAAGAAAAAAGAAACCATGCAGGCCAGACGGGAATGGCAAGAAATATTCAACGTGATGAGTAGCAAGAACCTACAGCCAAAAATACTCTACCCAGCAAAGCTATCACTCAGAATTGAAGGCCAGATAAAGAGCTTCACTAAAAAAAAAAAAAAAAAAAAAAAAAAAAAAAAAAAAAAAAAAAAAAAAAAAAAAAAAAAGCTAAAGGAGTTCATCATTGCCAATACAGAATTATATGAATTGCTAAAGGGGGTTCTTTTGGAAGAGGAAGAAAATAAAGATAAAAATTATGAACAACAAATACATAACTATCAACAAGTGAATCTAAAAACCAAGGGAATTAAAAAATCTGATGAACAATATTAACTGGTGAATATAATAGAATCAGAGGTATGGAAGGGGAGTAGACTGACGATTCTCAGGGAAAAGGGGAGTGGGCGGGGTGTGGGAAGAGACTGAACATAAACTGTGCACCTATGGATGAGGACAATGAGGGGTGGGGAAAGGGGAGAGAGTGGGGTGGAAACCTGATGGAGGGGGGGAAAATGAGGAACATTTGTAATAATCTGAACAATAAACATTTATTTTTTTTAAAAAAGTGTGACTATGTGTCTCTGTGTTCAGTATTAAGTCAGGTGCTTGGGAAGTGTCCAGCAAACAGAACACACTGAAACAGCACTAATGGAGCTTACACTTGGCTTAAGAAAGGAAGCACAGACACAACCATTTCAGTTGTAGAACAAGTGTGTCTGGAAAGGAATGGTGCAGATAAGTATTCAGTAATAATAAGTATTACAGAAATGCAAATAAAAGAGTGATTAGCATGTTAAGTGAGGCTTCACAGGAAAGGCCTACATATAAGATACAGTAGACCAACCCTGAAAGCACTCTCGCATATCCAGCAGGGAATGAATGAGCCAGTAAGAGATGCAGGAAAAGCATCTTGATTTCACTGCCCTGTTCACAACACTACAGCTGACTGGAGCTGGGTTTTCAAATTAGACATTAAGTGGGCCCAAAGAAGGAAGAACATTTAAGTAGGTAAACAAGCCTGTATTACAAGTCCATTGGGGCTTGATAATGGTAGGTTTTGAAGGTCAAAATAAGGAATTTCTCCTTAAAGGAAAGATTTTTGTTTTAAGCATGACTTCATCTTTTTTTCAAGTCAATAACATGATTATTAGACAAAGTCAGAGAACTAAAATAAAAAATCTCTCTATAATATGACTGCTTTCATTATATTCAGTCATTTCTCATTCAAGGCCTAAGATAGTTCCGAGTTTACAAAACTCACTTGACTTAACATTGCAATTATATGAAAATTTTATTTAGGCAAAATCAAAAGAGATTATTAAAATATTAATATGAACAATACAAGCAGGAATACATACTTCCCAAGGCACACAGGACAAGCATACATGTTCACCTACAAATATGACCTTGCATCTGTGGTCATGGACGTTCCACCAATAAGCACACTTGCCAATGAATAGAATTTATTAGAAAAAATGTTGTAATCAAATAATCATATACACCATCAAATATTTATCAATTTACACTGGGCTTTCACATATCTCCCCTATAATCATAAGAACCTCCTTATGTGAGCTGTTTGTTAATTTACCCATTTCAGAAAGGCAAAAATTGAAGTTCACACAGAGATTGACTTGCTCATCTTTCAACAGGTAAAAATTTTAAGATCCATCTCTACCTAAATCATTCATTTCACAAAATCCAAAAAACTTACTGAATACAAGACAATACTTTCTCCCAATAACAGCCAGGTTAAAACTAAGAAATATCTGTACACCAATGAAAGTCATAATACAAAAAGGACAGTGGAAAGATTTTCTTGTTTTATTATTGGAGTCAGAAAGAGTCAGACACTCTTGGAAAAGAAGGATAAAAATAAAAAACAAGCCCTAGCTGGTTTGGCTCAGTGGATAGAGCATCGGAAGAGTCCCAGGTTTGATTCCAGTCAAGGGCATATACCCAGGTTGCAGGTTCAATCCCCAGTAGGGGGCATGTAAGAGGCAGCCTGTCAATAATTCCCTTTCATCATTGATGTTTCTATTTCTCTCTCCCTCTCCCTTCTTCTCTGAAATCAATAAAATTATATTTAAAATTTAAAAGACAATACTGAGAATTATTAAGACACATGGTGCTGCAAAGCTAACTAAGCTTTTAATGAATGTGGATTTATTACTTCAAACATCAAGTTGCAACCTTCATCCTTATTTTGCAATAAACTGTATTCAAATATGCAAGGGAAAAATATGATTAAGTAGTGCTTCTATTTTTCCCTCAAAGATCTTTTGTCACCAATTAGGTTCAAATAAGTCTAATTCTAAAGGTCAATTACAAACTGACCTAGAAAAAGGAAGAGAAATAAATTCAATAGACAAGAAAAGTATCTATACTTAATAATTTACATTGATTGATACACACAAAAAAATTTGTTTCAAAAAATGCTAAGGATTTGAAAACAACCTTGATCCCGGCTGGCACGACTCAGTGGAACGTTGACTTATGAACCAGGAGGCCACAGTTCAATTCCCAGTCAGGGCACATGCCCAGGGTCATGGGCTCA